GCTTCCCAGCTTCGTTACTACCTCTCCTGCCACTCAGTTCACGAACCCTTCCACGGGTTTCCATGCCACCCACATCACAGAAGCAGCTTTGGTCAAAGTGACAAATGATATTTTGTCCATCTGTGACCAGGGCTCCCTCTGCCGCCTCGTTCTCCTTGACCTCTCTGCTGTCTTTGATACAGTTGACCACTCTATCCTCCTCCAACGCCTCTCCTCTCACCTGAACCTTCATGAATAGTTCAGATCGTACCTCTCACACCATCTCCGCCTCCTCTCCACAAACGGTTTCTCCTCTAGCCCCCATACCGTCTCGTGCGGAATTCCTCAGGGCTCTGTCCTTGGTCCCCTCCTCTTCAATATCTATATGCTCCCCCTTGGTGACATCATCCACTGACACTGGGTCAACTTCCACATGTATGTGGATGACACCCAAGTCTATCTCTCTGTCTCCACCCTCGATTCCACGGCCACTACTGTGCTGACAGACTGTCTGTCAGACATCAAGTCCTGGATGAGAGCTAACTTTCTCCAGTTGAACATCAACAAGACCGAGGCCCTCCTGATTGGCTCCCGTCAGCGCCTTCACATCTCAGGCGCTGACAGCATCACCATCCAAGGATGGACACCCCATCCCCTCCAGATTCCACTGGTTTCCCATCACACAGAGGATACCGTTCAAGATCCTGGTCCATACCTTCAAAGCCCTCCATGGCCTTGCTCCTCCCTACCTCTGCGACCTCCTAACCCCTACCAACCTCTCCGTTCAGTGGGCTCCGGCCTGCTTCATGTCCCCCGCCTTGTCCACCCCACCAATAGCGGGCGGGCCTTCAGTGATCAGCATTTTCACGTATTATGTGAAGTTGGTTACTGCAAAGGCTTGATGCTAAAAACCAAATTAGTAGCGTTAAGAAAATCAAAGCGAAGATGGACAGGATTAAGTTGTAAACTGGTTTGACCCAGTGTGATGATGGACCTTTGCTTTGATAGTGTCTGTTTTGGTGAAAGACAAAATAAATGTTGGGATTTTCATTTTTTACAAGCTTGCTATCCACTGAGTGTGTACTGCATCCTGCTCAATTGTTTATGAAAACTAACAGTCAAAGAAAGAGTGAAATTACTTTTAGCTGAAGTAGGAAATCTCAAAGTTGAGAATAAAAGTATGGAGGAAATGATTTGTTACTTTGAGGGTTTTCTTTCCATAGAGATATGTGAAAGGAGGACTCCAGGAATAATAGAGGAGGATGTGATAGAGCATCTGCTGGTGAAAAATATTAGAAGAACAAATGTACATTTTAAAAAAGTAAATGAGACCTAAAGTAGTCTGGATGGTATGCATCCCAGAATACTGAAGGAATTCAAAGAGGAGATAGTGGATGTACTGGCCACAATATTCCCAAACGTTTGGAAAATGGAATTCTACAAGACATCTCAGTGTGATATTCAAATAATTGATATCAATGGGCAGCAAGGGTAAGATGTGGATCAGTATCTGGCTAAGGGAAGCAAGCAGAGGTTTATCTTAATGATGCTGGGGGTGTTGGGTGGGGGGAGGGGGGAACTGAGAGGTCCATGTTAGTGGTACTTCTGTTTCCAGCAGATAAAAATGACCTGAATGCTCCAAATCAGTGGAAAGTCGTTCTATTTGTAACAGACCACAAGTATTTGCAAACAGAGTTCTATACCGTCCATTGATTATCTGGAGGAGAGAAATCTAGAGATGCCACGATTCAGATCTTTAAAGGTGGGAGTGTATCTGTGTTTTATAAATGAGGCTCATTGAATATATGAAGGCCAGCAGAGGCGTGGAGATGGTAGGTTTTGACTGATACTAGGGAAAGATTATTCCCACTTTTGGCAAATTGATACAAAAATGTAATGGTTCTTTTTTACGCTACATTAGTGTTTGGTTTTAGTAGCTGATAAATTGTTTCAGCGCTATGTGACAAATTGAACTTGTTTTTTTTCTCAAATAGTTAGAACTTGTTTGATCAAAGAGAACAAAATATATCAACTAATTAGCCTTTTTCAGTCTTTAACTTTGTATGTTTTATACGGATGTAGATGAATTTTTGAATGTCACACTTTACCCACATGTTTTTCATCATGTCTTGCTACCTGCAGATTTTATCAGGTCAATCTTTACACTTACATGCTGTTTGTGACACATTTTGTAAAATTCAGGTGCAATTTAACTTACACCTCAAATCTCGGGCAAGCAGAGCAATTTCCTGCACCTAAATTAACCTGTTGTAATTTATTTGACTGTAGATGTGAGGGCTTATATTTGTGGTTTGTTTAAATGTTGTTTTTTTGGTTAAAGGAACTAAGCAATAACAATTTTTTTAATTGCAATTGTTCCCTAGTTGCAACATCTTCTGTGATATTCATACATTATTTTCAAAACAATAATAATCCTTCAATTTGAAATAGAGCCTTATCACATCAAAAGAATGTCTTAAAGTGCTTCACAGGATATGCTTTGAAGTGGTTTGACAGTGCATTTTGTAGGTTAAGGGCAGCAGACAATTTTGCATACAGCAATGTCCCACAAATAACCATGGAGCGAGTGACCAATTTTATTTGGGAAATTTGTTGGCCCGGCACCGGGAACAACTGCTTTCTCTTTTCGAATAGTATCATGGGATTTTTCACGTCCGCCTAAGCAGGCCGATGGGACCTTGATATAACGTCTCATCCAAAGGACAGCACCTCTGACAATGCAATAACCTCCAGCCCTGCATTTGAACGTCGGCTTAGACGATGTGATTCAAGTTCCGACATGGGGCTTGAACCCACAACCTTCTGAGTTGGAGATAAGAGTGCTACAACTGAGCCAGCCTGGCACAGACCTAGTATATAATCTTTATGATTTTAATTGTGCATAGTGAACCACGCTGAGTTTTGTGGATGGTCTACTTGAATTAGTTTGTCATTGTTATGGCTGACTGGTGTTTCCCTGAAGCTTTATAACATTGATGAGACTCCCGGTTCTTTAATAATGGAGTCCCTTAGCGTAGTGGTTAGCAAGCAGGAGGACTCAGGTTTGATTCCCAGGCAGGCGAAACCTTAGGCAAGTTTCCTTACTCACACGCCTCTGTTTACCCAGCAGTAAGTAGGGACCCAGTTGTTAGTCTATTGATAGATCACTTTCCAGGGATAATAATCTCTTTTCAAAAAATTGGTCACTCACTCCATGGTTGTTTGTGGGTCCTTGTTATGTGCAATTGACTGTCGCATTTTGCCCACAAAATACAGTCAATCCATTTTACAATGATAGGTATTATTTAATGCCTTTCAGAGCAGTAGAGTGCACAGGCACAGAACTGTGATTGATTTATATGAGCTTTGAGCCACAGGCGTGTGGAGACTGGAGTATAAGTGAAGTTTGTGACTTCACATCTCTGTTTTACAAGCATCTCCAGTTTATTCTCACCAAGTCTAAAAATATGATGTAGAAAGCCAATTTTTGTTGAACCCAATAATGTCATCAAGCATATGCCATGAAGCACTTCTCCGGGTGGTACTGACGTGTATATCATTCAGTTGCTAGGGTAAGCAGGCTTACAGTTGAGAGCTGATTATCTGTACTAATTGGGATTGGCCCAAGGACAGCAATCGAGTCAGAATTTTATGGATTCCAAACACTGCATTAAAATAAGCCGCACTCTATTTCAGATGCAAGGGTTATTAATATAGATTCCATATATTAAAAACTGTATTTGCTTGTGTACCTCTGCTATTGTAATACATTTTGGACAGACATTTTCACATATCAAACATTAAAAATGTGGAACACTTTTCAACTATTCAAAACATGTTTTATTGAAAAAATTGTGGATTATACTTTGGTTCTTAATTTTCTCTTGGCTGTTACGTCATACTCATTATCTGTGCTACAAAATACTAATTAAGTAATGTATACAAAATATAATCAGACTAAGCAAATGCTTATTAACAGGCGTTACATTGTCTTGAGTAATCTTTATTTTTGCCCTTCCTTCAGTCTTGTAATTTGGGCAGTGTCTCTTCTCACGTGTGGCGGAGCAACTGGTTGATGGAGAGATGATGTCTCATAGATAGTTGGTGGTGTTTTTGATAAGCTAGCAAGACATTTCAATTATTGTCCACTTCTTAATAAAGGTATATCATTGGCAGGTAAATTCAGCTAAATGGAAGTAAAATGTAGCAAACCTCTTTGTTCAGTTTGCTGCTCTTCAAGTGGGTGGGTTAAAAATAAGTTTCCAACATTAAAGACACTATATAAGTGTAATTTTGTTGTAAGTGAGGTCTCCTTGGAGTTGCGCTGGCAACAGAATGTCAGAATCGTCAGTCCTCTGTTGTGGTCTTGGTAGTCCAGTTCCTGAGCCAAGTCCATCCACAATACTCCAGGATACTGTTGATGACAGACCAGCCAACCTTGTTCATTGGCAGAACTTGGAGGGCCAGAGGCAGTGGAGGAGGGACTGTTCCCGCTCACCTGCTGTAACCTGCAAACCAAAACCCTAATGAGTCGGGTGGTCCTAGATGGACAAGCAGCAGGAAGCTTGCCAGGCAGTGCTCACAATGGGAAACTCTGGTTTTAGCTGGTTAAACTCCAGCAATAATCCAACCCACACTTTTGTGGAGTTTTGTATCATGGAGTCCTGTAGCTTAGTGATTGGAGCACTCGCCTCGCAAGCGAGAGGACCTGGGTTCAATTCCCGGGCAGGGCGAAACATTGGGTAAGTTTCCTTAATCTACCCACCTCTGTTTACCCAGCAGTAAGTCGGAACGCAGTTGTTAGTTGACTGGTGAATCTGGAGGTAATGATCACTTTTTTTTTAAAAAAGGTTCACTCAATTCATGACTGTTTGTGGGACACTGTTGTGCGTAATTGGCTGCCGCGTTTCGCCCTAAAATATATAGTCAATTCATTTTACAGTGCATTCTATGAAGTGCTTTTTTACGTCTCGAAGATGTGATAAGGCATTATATCAGATGCAAGGATTATTATTATACATGTATTATTTTGGGCTTCCCAAGCCTTGGCTCTTGCCAACCTGAACCTAATTCTAAACGGATAAACCATGGAGCAAATTTTAGAACTAAATAAGCAGAGTGCATCCCTCCAGGGAGAGAATCGCATTTGCTCTGGGCTGGCACACATATGTGGAGCCTTGTAAGAAAAAAGATACTCTAAAACATATGATGGGTTTCCTCGTGTGTCAAATATCTGGCTGACCATAAAAATGTTTAAAGAAATTTCTATGAAAGGGTATGAGGTGACATGATCCAGTCACTGACAGAGAGGAAGAATCCTCTTCTTTGCTGGAACTTCTATGAACCAAACAATTAAAATGTTGCTTTCATAAAGTATGCATGCTTGTAACTTCAGGCTTAACTGTATCTGACATACCCGAGCCAAACTGCGAAGTCTCAGGTTCAGTTCGCATATACAGAGCCAGTCGATTTTGACCAATGCATCCAATATCTTTCATGAACTTAAAAATATATTTTTTAAACTTCACTCCAAAAAATACATACAGAATAGGATTGAGACAACAGTGGACATATGCTATACATTTAGTTACAATAATTGCATAGTCAACTTTTATACTATCAGTACACTTAATAGAAACATTGTTGATGATTGACAGAGTTTCCATTAATTTCACAATATTGAATGGCAACTGGCAAAAAACAAATACAATTACTATTACAAATATAATTCTTAACGACTTATGTTTTTGGAAACCTTTACCGTGAAGCAGAGTTTTTGCAATGATTGAATAGCAAATAACCATAGCCGCAAAGGGTATCAAAAATCCCACAGTCATCTGTATTATGTTCACTTGTACTTTGATAGCAACGCTCAAATTAGTAGGATAAACCATGGAGCATATTTTAGAGGATGAATCAGTACGTGCTTCACTGAAAATGAATTGAGGAAGAGACAAAATGATTGCTAACAGCCATACTGCTGTGCAGACTACACTGTGACATCTTCGGTATTTACAATTGAGCATTTTTGTTGCTTGAACAATCACATTGTACCTGTTGATGCTCACACAAGTGAGTATTAACATGCAACTGTAGAAGTTTACCGTGTATGCACCATTCATAACTTTACACATAAAAGTATCAAAAATCCATCCATGGCACGCATTAACTGCCCAGAATGGAAGAGTGCAGAGGAAGAGCAAGTCAGCAACCGCTAGATTTACCATATAGATATTTGTCACGGTTTTCAGTTTCTCATAGAAAACGTATATCACAATTACCAAAGAATTCCCTAAGAGGCCAGTCACACACATGATTGAATAAAAAAGAGGTATAAAAAATCTGGCAAACTGTTTAACCTCTTTTTTGTTACAAGGCAATTCCCATTGTTGGTTCAGATCATCGGTGCTGTTAAAATCATAGTATTCATAGATTGGTTGAATTGTCACCATAGTTGAAGACTTTGTTAAGATCTGTAGGAATTACCTAAAATAAAACAAAATTATTTATGACGCGGTGGTATGAAACATTGCCTGCATCTTTCAATCTGTTTGTATCCTGACTTCATTGCTCACAATCAGCAATTGAATTCAAATAATAAATTTAGAATTTTAGTAATTGGTTACAAACCAACAATATTATAAACAAAGAAAAGCAAAAACTTACCAGCACTAAAGAAATATAGTGATCACTGATTTGGATGATCTTTGAACCGTATCTTGTGTTGCTGATTGTGAAGAGTGTTTCTGATGCAGATGCGTGTATATACATTGTGACAGGAAATAGTCTTATCTCCATCCAATTGGCTGCCTTGTTTTGCACACAAAATATACCATTTTGAGACATCTCAAAGAAGTGATAAGGTGCTATATCAAATGCACAAGAATTATTATAATAAAAAATAATCCTTGCATTTGATATAACGCTTTTCATGTCTTCTAGACGTCTCAAAGTGCTTCACAGAATATACTGTAAAGTGAATTGACTGCATATTTGTGAGCGAAACATGGCAGCCAATTGCACAAAGCAGTGTTCCACAAACAGTCATGGATTGAAGTGACAAATTTTTTTTTTCTTGAGGGATTATTATCAGGCGTGTGGAGTAAGGAAACTTGCCCAAGGTTTCTCCCTGCCGGGAACCGAACTCAGGTCTCTCGCTTGCGAGGCGAGTGCTCTAACCACTGAGTTACAGGACCCCACAATATCCACCTAACGAGGGCTCAAACCCACGCTTATCAGATGTCATATGACCCAACTAGTGGCTATCGTTGGGGGGAGGTAAGGAGTGTCTCTTTGGAGCTGAACTGGCTCCGGGATGATATATTTAGCAACTAAATATCAGAATTGAGCCCACTCTCTGGCAGTCTTGGTAGTCCAGTTCCTGAGCCAGGCAGGTCTGCAGTTCTCCAGGGCACACCTGATGACAGCACAGCCAGCCTGGCTCAGTGGAAGGATCTAGAAGGGCAGACCAGTCACTGGGGGCAGGGACTCTTCCCACTCATCTCCCGCAAATCAAAGCCCTAGCGAGTAGAGTGGTCCTAGCTGGACAAGTAGCTGGAGCGACAATGCTTAAATATGTGGATTCAGTTGGTTAGACTCCAGCAGTAACCCAACACACACTCTGCTTGCCAGCCTATGCCTGATACTGTCTGGAATGAGCTAAGTAGGCTTAGGAATCGGACTACTGAGACCGCCGTAGAGGGTTGACTTAATTCTGACATTCCGTTGCCAAGCACCACACCTTGGGACTAGTTGAGCTCTAAGGAGACCCCCCTTACCTTACTCCCAAGGAGGAAATTATAAAGTGCAGGTTGTGAAGAACTAAGGCTTGGGAGCCCTGGAGTGTATGTTGGGATAATGCTGGAGCTAACCAGCTTGCTGCTACAAACATTCTTTTTTTAAATAAGGCCATTCGGCCTTCAGCTGCTCTGCCCCACCCATATTAACTCCATCCCGAATCCTTCCACCTCGCCTCGGAATTCCATCCTCCATCCCTCCTTTGCCTCCTTCAAGGTCCATCTCAAGATTTTCCTCTTCAACTCGTGCCTTAGGTCATCTTCCCCTCCTCCCCCCCCCCCCCCACACACCCTTGCTGTCCTCCCCTCTTGATTCCAACCCCAGCTCGGGTGAAAACCCTTCACTGTACCCTTCCAGCGACATCCTCCCAATGTGAAAGGCTCTATATAAGTCCAATTTGTTGTTGATTTACAGTACAGAAGAGGATCGTTCAGCCCATCATGTCTGTGATTGCCCTTTTTTTAAAAAAAATCCTTTCATCCTATTTACCTGCCCTTTCCCCATATCCCTGTAGTTGTTTAGGTACATCACTAGTTCCCTCTTGATAGCTAACATGAATTTTGTCTCGACCACCACTCCACTCTTGAGTTAAAATGTTCTCGGTTCTCTTTCAACTCACAGAATATAGGGCAATGGTGGCTAACCAGCAGCATGCAGACCCCAAGGTGGCACAACACACATTTTAAAAATAATTCCAACAGCAACAATTACTGGATCCCCTGCTGAAGTGACATTGCCATAACCCTCACCCCGGCCACACCACTCACCACAACCAGAGCAGCAGCACAGAGTGCTGTCAGAATGTGTCAGAGAAAGCTGAGGAAACGTTGTGTTGTCGGAGATTCCACTCTACAGATGAGGTGTTAAATTGAATTCCTACCTATCTGTTCACGTGGACGTTAAAGAAAAGAGCACTACTTGAAAAGAGAAGTTTCTCTGGCGTCCTGGCAAACAATTCCCCAAATAAAATTCATTATTCTGTTATGGGGACATTGCTCTGTGAAAATTGTCCGTCATGTTCACCTCCAAAAACACAGTCACTACACTGTACAGTAAATTGTTTGGAATGCATTGAGATGCTTCAATGACCTGTTAGAAAATATTCTCTTCTAATTTCTATTATCTTATGTTGTCTTTATTTTGAAACTATGTCCTCTTATTTACACAGAAAATGTTCTAAACCCTTCACAATTTTAAGTGCCTCTCTTAAGTCCTGTCTCATGCTTGTCTTTCAAGAGNAAAAAAACCTGAGGGTGTCCTTGTTACTCTAGTCCCTAAATTCTGGAATTAATCTAGTAGTTCTCTAACTTAAACTGGCTGTTCTGACTGATTCATCTGTTAGCTAGTTCTATTAGGCTATCTGATTATTTTTATATAGGCTTTAGCCAGTGTGCAGAAAACGTCTCTGAATACTTTAAGCAGTGTAAATGAAATTATATAATAATAATCCTTGCATTTGATATTGTGCTGTATTACTTTGTCGAACGCGTGCGAGGATTTGACTTTGAAATGTAGTGACTGTGTAATTGTAGGCAATTCTTTTAGTTTTAGCCAACATAGAACCAAGGAAATTTACAGGACAGATGAAAGCTGTTCGGCCCATTGTATCTGTGCTGCCCCTTTGAAAGAGTAATCCATCCATTCCGGCTTTTCCTCAGTGAACATGAAAGGTAAAAGGCAGTGTACGAAACAATTCTTTGTATGCTTTAGCTACCAATCAGGGAGCTATTTAAACCAAGTTTTTCAATCTGTATATTAATCCCTTTTAAAAATTATGTTATTTCCAAGATTAGTATCATGTATTTAGAATCTATTTGTATCTTTGAAGATTATTGTGGTAAGCTGCTAACTCAAAAGAACTGTTGCACTTGGCTATAAAACATTCACCTCACTTCTAACTAATTTTATTTTGTGGAGCACTTTGAGACATTTACTTTATGTGAAAAGGCCTTCAAGGTCCTGAACCTCAGAAATAAATCCGTTCATCCCTATCACCTGCCTATTTCTCTGATCTGCCTGTACCCCACTCCTCTGACGCTCAGCGAATATAGACCTGAGTGTCCTAATTCCTTGCCCCACTATCAGTGGCTGAGCCTTCATAAACTGCAGCTGAATAACGTGATAGACTTAGTACTATCTACAGATACAGTTGTTGATACAATTGTCGTAGATGATACAGTGACTGATGTTGAAATGTCTTAATGCACTAAAGTTACTTTGACGTGTAGTGACTTTTGTTATTTATGCAAAAGCAGTACCAAATTACACCCAACAACATCGCACTAACAGAAAATAGATGCATGAACAATTCATCAACAAAGGTATTAGAAAGTAAATCTCATGTAAACATAGATCGCCTACAAATACACAGTCACTACACTTTACAGTAATTCCTGTAAAGCACTTTGAGACATTTCAATGACTTGCAATGTTTTTGTTTTACAAGGATCCCTTTTCTCTCCCCGAGACACTGACTTGAATCGGATATGTCAGGATTATTTCCAGCTGTCACCAGCTTACATTTGCCACCACCATTCGTGACTCATGGCAAAGGTCCTTACCAGAATCAGGGCAGCTAAATGAGAGATAGCATCAAATACTCAAATACTCCCATTAGTATTTGTCCACAAATACTTTACAGTGTATCCAGTGAGGCACTTTGAGATGTCCTCCCAATATGAAAGGTGCTAAATAATAATAACTAAGGATTATTATTAACTGCATTGTTCTTGGACTTTGCATCTTTTAGAACAGCTGTAGGTTGCCTAAAGGACATTATCTTCATCAAAAAGTGCCTGCAAAGGAAAAGCTAACACTACATACTTTAATACATGCTATCTCAATAGCACAGATGATGAAATATTTAAATCACCCATATTTACTTCCGTTATGCAGCATCTGCGGTTGTCTGTATTAAACTTTATTTATCAGTGATCTTGGCAGTGTCTAATTATAGACTTCCCTAGCTTACATCTTGCAAATGTAAGTACTCTGCTCTGAGTCCACCTCTATGGGGCACAGTGTTTTACATTATCGTAACCCTTTGTGTGACAAAATGTTTTCCAATCTCACTGTCCAAGCTCTAATTTTAAGATGATGTCTCCTTGTTTTGTATCAGAATATGATCAACTGGCTCAGATCATCACAAATGGGTCTAATGACATTTCTCTGTGCCTAAAAGCTCAAATGTACAATTCACGTCCTTAAAAAAAATTTTTTATTTGGTTGGTCAGTCTGAAACATGCAAACCCCATCACCATACTTAAGTATATCCAAACCAGACTTGAGAGTTGCACAAATGTATGAAATGGAATAGAACTCTCTTCCCACAGGACATATCCTGATTACCTAAAGCCGGAGAGTATTAGGCACTGTTTGGCAGTATCTAAGCATGGGTCCCTGGATTGTGTTGTAGACAAATTTACTTGGCACCACGTTACTTTCAAATATAGGATTGATTAACGTTTGAACAGACAAATCACTTATCCCTTATACAGAATCAAAATCATATTACCAGATTCAACTCTGGGCAGCAGCAACAGATCCTGGAACTCCCGCAATCCACCACTACACCCACTGGAGAAAGCCCTCCTTCCTTACAGACCTCACTATTCATCCCCTTCCTCTTTAGTGGTCACTTTCTTACTGGAGGTAAATTCCCTCACCCCTGTACATATACATAGATACAGTAGAATCAATATTGATTCCACTGGGAAGTGCACTGACCCTCTACACAACTCCCAACTATCTCAAAGTTATATATTTTATGTGTTTCTAACTCCACCTCTCCTTGTCACAGAGATAGCCCCCACCCTTCACAGGCTGCTTTGCACAGAGAGAGATATGGACATCTTCTGGGCAGCCTTCTACAGCCTGCTTGTTTCTCAATCCGCGGGCTGATGCGTCTCTTCTGGTCTCTGTGAGTGTGTTTTGGCTGCCACCCCGACCCG